GGAAATAATACATTCCCCTCCCTTAAGTACTGCAGTATATTACACCGCTTGATCCAGAGTCAAAAGGAGTTGAACCCACCTTCACGCTTCGGGTTGATGGTCAGTGAAAGCCCAGATGTAGCTGTTGTGCAGTATTCTGCATATCTGGTGTCCCTTTAGGGCTGTATTGAATAACAGTCATTCAAAGGGCGGGCAGGCCAAGTTTAGGCAAGGTACTTCTCTTATCTTAACTGTCTGGGTCTGTTAGCCAGAATGTTGACTTGCTTTTCCTGGAGCCTCCTATTTTCCAGACTTGTGTTATTTTGACAGAAATTTCCAAGTTTTCCAGTTGACATTCCAGAAGGTGGCTGCAGGCTGATCCTCTCCCAAACCCCCTGCAGTGTCCCCTGGCTGGGGGGAGATGAACCACAGCACTGGCAGCTCCAATAAGAAATCATTTTTTGGCCACCATCCATTCCAGGAACTAAGCAAGAGCCAAATGAAGCTCCAGCTTTGGGAACTTTTTAATAGAATCGACCAAGATGTGTTTGGAGACCGGTTGTGTGTGGCGTGGAATGAATCGCCATCATGACTAATACCTTCAGCTACTGCAGCAGCTATTTTTGCACCCCCTTCCCCAACGGTAGCATCTAGGATTGCTGTCCCAGTTGCTCCCGCTCAGTTAGGCCTCTGGTCTACTCTGCATGTACACAGCCAGAGTGTTTCCGTGCCCACCGTGACAGGGAAACATTTCACCATGTCTTGCCATTTCTGCCAGAAATATCCTTGCGCCAACCCTTGGAAAAGTATTCTGTTTTACATATGACCTGATCCAATGCCCCCTTTGGTAAATTAATGGGAGCATCCAAATAGTTGGATGCTCTGCAGGGATGGCTTAACCCTTTAGTGGGCCCTAGGCAAACAAATTCCTGGGCCACGGGCCAGTTGAGACCCCCCTCCCCACCCCTGGCACTGCCGCCCATGGGAAGCAGGGCTTGGAGCTGCCGCTGCAGTAAGGCTGGGAGAGGGGAGGGGAAGGGAGGAGGACGGAGGCCATTTGTGCTGCTGCTGCGAAGGGAAGCACCGGCCCCCTGCAGTTCAGGGCCCTAGGCATGTACCTAGTTTGTGGATGCGTTAATCCAGCCCTGGTGCTCTGGACCACTCAGGATCAGCCTCCCTAGGGTTTTATTTTGGGTTTTTTTTTCCAATTTGATAGGTTGGTGCCTCTGGGGACATAACGTGGTACAACTCCATTTGCCAACCTGCAAGCTGTGGGTCAGAGTCTCTGTACATTGCAGTCAATAAGCAGTTTGAGTTTCCAGCCTGTTGAATCCTTTGCAGTTCTGCTATAGCTTCTCCACGCTTGGCTATTGAGTTAAACTTTTCCTGATGTTTCCAGAGGAACAGTTCTCACAGATACAATATGCTCTATACTAGCGCAGTGTCCTTTGTTGTTTCTTACTGAGGAATCTGTTGTTAAACGACATTGCCTCCTTTTCTAAGAGCTGTGGGGAAAAAGCCAGTAGGGCCTGGCTGCCCTTCTTAGCTAGGGGACAGGAGCCTCCTTGGTGCAGTGGTCCTGCATGAAAAGGTCAGTGCTTGTATTTATTCTTGGCTCCTGTCCAAATGGACTTTGAGAAGATTGTTTCTGTGCGGCAGTGAAACCAATTTTTATCTCATTAAAAAGGGATTTAAATGTTTTTGTCTCTAATGACATTAAGTCATTGCCTGTAGTCAGGGCATAGGAGAGAGAGGGATTGTTTTGTAAGGAAGGGGAAACCCAGGGTGGCTCACTTAGTCTAAACCTGGGGCCTGTTGGCTAGCTGTTTCCTTAGCTCTCCTCTCTTCTCTTCCCTCAAATTCCTTCTGGGGTTATGGGCCTGGATTCTGCCCTCAGAAACGCATGCATTTCCCTCTAAGTTGTCTTTCTGAAGCATACATAGCAGCTGCTTGGACGTTGTTTAATGATCTGACTGCACAGGGCTGGGACAGCAAGTGCCTGTATTCAGTCACTGTCCAAACACCACACCTCCCACTTTATCTTCATCATACATAATATGGAGCGTAGATCTTGGAAGATGTAACTTTCTCACAAAATCATGGGGCCTCTATGCAACCAACCAAGGTGTTTGTCAGGAGAAGTAAACCATGGATCGTCTTCTGAGACGCCCTGTAGCACCGCAACGCACCCCTCAAGATCTGGCAACTTCAACCCCAGAACCAGTGGCCTGTGCAGAATATTGGGAACGGACCACATAGAAAGGCTGGATCGGAGACACGACGAAGAAGATCATAATACAGTAGTAACGTTCTGGTAGAGCCTCGGGATCCCAGTTCCCATGGTGCTGAGCACCACACAGGCACATTCGGCGACGGCCCCTGCCTCAGGGGAGTTAGCACTGCAGTTGAGCGTGGATGCTGCAGTTATGGCATGTGATGGTGAAGAAGAAGGTACTGACATCAGAGCAGGGGGTTACATGGGGCAGCCACATGAGGGCACACATGCAACCCAGGCTTGCTGGGTTTTGAATTTAACAGTTACATTTATACACAAAATATAAATCACTAACACCAGCTGACCCTGACTGACACTGTCATTACTTGGGGAATTTCTTGTCTGGGTCCCAGCAAAGGTGGGTCTCACAGGAGGCCTTGGAGGACAAGGTTAGTTTAAGGAGGGGGTGCCAGGTAGCCCTGAGCACCTAGTGGAGTGTAGGAGAGATGCAGGCACTGAAAATCGGGGGTGGTTTCTACAAAGCGGGTGCCACTGGTGCTGGGTCTCCACATTCAGAGCAGACCTGGCCACCACCCAGGGTCCTGGGGCTGTTTGCTTTACTCCTGCTGAGGAGCTAGCCCACAACGGCCTGCCCTTCCCTACAAGAAGCAAGTCCAAACCTAGAGGTCCCGAGCCAAGCACCGTCCCTTGGTGTAGCATCGAGATCTCGGCTTTGTGTCTTGCTTGGTCACTTTGTTTAGAAAGCTTTCCGATGAATGTGTGCGAGAGCCAGTGGTCACGCGCAGCCTTTTCCACGTCGAGCAGGGCACTGACAGAGGGCAGGCAGTCTGTCAGGCGTTTCTTGTGTACAGTACAAGGCTGTGTGGAGAGAGGGTTTGTTGTTACAGAAAAGCCCCAGCCCGCGTGCAGTCTCCTGTTTCCGAGAGATGATCACCTTCCCTTCCTGAGACTGGCAGGGCTGCGTTCCCATTAGTCATTAATCCTCGAGGGGCTTGACGTTCTTAGCTCATCAGTCAGCAGCCAGACTATCCTGTCCCTGTAAAGACCTAGGACGCATGAATCAAAATAGTTGTGTGATGTCATGTCATAATGCGAATATGCCCTGACCAATTGGTGCCAAGAATTGTCTGTACAGCGTGGTTTCCTTTTACAGTCTCTTTAAAGAGACATCATGCAGAACTGCACATGACAATTCCCTTCAAGAGGGCTTGTGCCTCTTTTGCATATTTAGTAATTTTTAAAAGCGGGGAGCTTATCAGCCCATTACTGACCTCTTCTGCATAAGCTGATCCACTCTGGAAATTCTGCTTCAGTCTCTGAAACTTCCTGGCTGCTTAAGGCTAAGAGCTGCAGCTCCGGTGGCTGCAGGCACTACAGGCTTTTGAACCTCTCTTGGTATCCGCAGATACTTGCTGACTAGTTACTGTCCAGTAGGTATTCCACCTGGGAGTGCTTTATACGTGGAGCCGGGCCACTTCAGGAGCTTATTGCCATGAAGATATGAACTGATGTGCCTTGGAGCTGCACTTCAGGATTCCACAAGCTGAGGCTTTTTGGAGCCATATGATATCTGTCGACTTTTGGGACTTTTTTTTTGGCCTCCCTTGATTGCCTGCTGACCTGACTTATTCACCTGCCCTACCTGTTTCCCTGACTTATTCCACCTTTTGCTCAGATCTGCTCTCCCTTCTTCAATCCCGGGTATGACTGACAGCTGCGATTGCTTTGGTGCTCACTACAGCTCATGAAGCGTTTTGGCAGTTTTAGAGGCAGCAAGAAACGGAAGGACCAGTGCAAAAGCTCTGAGAGACGCCAGTCTGAACCTCATGGCCTTTTAGGTAGGGAAACTACGGTGTTAACCATTGGCATGGGGACAGATTATTCTTTGTGAACGGGGCTTGTCTGAGTATAAAGCATTAAAGCAACTTTCTGTTCCTTAATTCCATTGATTCAATTGTGTAATTGCTGTGATTAGATGGTTCTGGGGATGTTTACACAATTTGGCACCTGACGTGAAAAGCTAACATAAGCTAATGACTTTAGTATATGCATCTAAACCAGTAGATAAGGAATTGATCTTCCAGATTATTTTTTTCCAAGTGGCTTTACTGTATTCAGATTATCGTAAACTGTGAAGTTCGTCCTAAAGGAGCTGTTGGATTGTAAATGTCACGCTTGGGGACTGTCTTACTATAAAACAGAAAATTAACTCAAGTGTTACTTTAGTAAAAGTTTGAATAACGTATTTACTGAATAAAAAGGTAAATGTTAAGAGTTTCAGTTTGTTTAGAAGATGAAAGCTATTATGTGCCATAAGTGACCTCTTTTTTTTTTAAGCCCTCTCGTTTAAGACTGTACTTTCCAGTAGAGTCATGTTGGATCTTTAATTTAAGACCAACCTCTGTAAGACGCTAATGGTTGCTGGTGATTGTGTGCGTGTTGGAGGGCGGGTATAGCACGAGTTCTATTTGAGTACCAAACCTGGCAACAAGTTTCAGAGATGAGTGAGTTGGCTGGCATGCCTCCGCCGCTCTGGCATGCACTGTCTTCGGAAAGTGAAATAGCTTCTGTGCTGACTTCCACCTGACGAACAGCAGAAGCTATAATTCAGGAATGTTGGAATGAATTACCGGCATTGCTGAGCCACCGTTATTTTGTGCACGGTGTGTTTTGTAGGAAAGCACAAGTCTGCTGAAAGAAGGGATAGGAACTTGCCAGGCGCGGTGGGCAATATCACACGGAGTCAGCGGGAGAAGGTCGGAGTTCAGTGGGGCCGGTCGATTCACCGTGCCGAGCTCAGTTCTGCTCTCACTGTGCTGCAGGTCAGCACTAACTGCACTGAAGCACTTGGTGTGAACCCAGTGTGAGAGCTGGATATGGGTTTTGTACAGAGGTGCCTGTGTAAGTGTGTGTCAGCTTCCTGCCCTCTTTTATCAGTTTATTCCGGCTGATGGATTCAAGGTGTGTCCCCAACTTCTAAGTTCATCTACTCTGCTGTTAGTCTCTCTTTCACCAGTAGTATTCATTGTTTTCTTTCTGCATGACTGAGGGAATGGGCCTGATTCTGCTCTCCACTGAATCAGGAGAGACATTCCTGGCTCGGTGAGGATACATTAGCGTGAGGCAGTGGGTTTGGGAGTTGCACAGTGGGGGTAAAAGGTGGAGTCTAGCACAGGGAAAGATCGCTGTGTGATGGGCAGCAGCATAAGGTGGATTGAGACTATAGAGGCCCACAAAAAAGTGAGACTCTTCCCAAGCTGTCAAGGGACCCCCTGGGCTCCCAGACAGGGAAGAGTGTGTGGTACGTGCTGTCTAAGTCTGGCATAGGATGCTTTCAGGCAATGCCTCCCCCTTTAGCCACGGTTAGCCTCAATGAGATGAGGGTGCTCAGTCAGGTTCTGGGGGACACTCGCAGTCTTGCTCCAGCAGCAGGTGGCTGGCAGCAGGCCACCTGTTACATACAGGCTCACTCCAGCATCAGTGCTCCCTGTGATCCCAGGCAGCCAGCGTTAATCCTCCTGCACAGAAAATAATTCATCCTGCCGCAGTAGCAGTTGCTATAAAAACCTTCCTGCCTTGGACTGTATTAGAGAGACAGCATAAGGGAGAAATGCAGAAAAGGGTACATCTCCTGCTCCCTGCACTGCCTCCTTCCTGTCTTAACTAAAATGCATGGGAAGATTTCAGTGGCATGAAGAAGCTGAGTGCAAGCTATAAAACACCAGCTGAGTCCTTACCAGCTTCCAGTAATTGCTCTCATTAATCTTGCCATGTAGCCCACCCTGGTGGCACAAAGACAGAATTAGGAGCATATTTACTATGCAAAATTTCTATCATCAATATTTAAAACCCAGTCCCAGCTTGCTCACTGTGTCTGAGTTTCCTCAGGAGCAAAGGGCTGCAGGTGCTTTCCCACAACCCGACCTTAGATCACGAGGGCAGGAAAACAAAAAATACAGTGTGTATATTTTATTGCCTTCCTTGGATTAGTTTCTGTTCTGGTGATCCCAGCAGAATCCGTTCTTTTCCAAATGTGGGCTAATATTTATAAAGGCAAATTCTTTTTTTTTCAGGTTGCCTTAATTTATTGGAGTAAAATGTCAAAATAAAAGCTTTTCACAATTTGCTGAATTAATCTTCGCTTAATAGAACCTGGTTGTATCTACAAGGCCTGTGTTGAACACCCCTGGAAAATCATTCAGCTCCAGCAACTCTCAAGGGAGCCAAGAGGGCTCAGCAGATGTTAGGATCAAGTATTTGTTATTCATCTTTGACTGCATTTGCAACAGATGCCTCTTGTGGCCCTTGGGGTCTGGTAGCGTGGGCCAGGCATTCTTTTTGGTTTCTTTGCTGTCAGAGAATGGATGGCAGCAGTCTGCTTCTGCACTTTTGAAGTGGTGGCATTGGTCTAGATGTGGGAAGGCTCTGGGTGAACTGGAGCCCATGCAGGGCTCACCTTGCTTACCATGGGGAACTCATTTTGCTTCTTGCTGGGATTGGTTCAGTCCCAGCAGCTTCTTTCCTCAATAGTGATGCAAAGGTACAGATGACAGAGAATCCTCAAGGTTTCCAGGATGTCATTTTCCATGCCAGGTGTCACTGGCCAAGTCTCATGCTGGATTACACCCCTGTTCCTCTGGTCTTCAACTGAGCCCAGAGTTCCTGGTGTTTCTTGGCCTCTTTCCGCAAGTGGTCTAAGGAAGGGAGAGTCATAGTCATAGAGAAGTTGGGCTGGAAGAGACCTCCAGAAGTCATCTAGTCCAGACCCCTGCCTGAGACAGGATCATCTCTTTCCAGACCATCTCATTCAGACCATAATCTAAACTCTTCATAAGACTACTGTCAAACCTGATGCAACATAAACCTAACCTCCTAATCTGCCACAGATAAAGCAGGGGTATCATGGCAGCCAGCGTCCTGCTTCTATAAAATGTTGTTAATATGTTCTCAGGAGGTCCCAGGCAGAGATCCATGCCCTTCGCTACAGAGGAAGGCAAAAACCCTCACAGTCCATACCAGTTTGATCATGGGGTAAAATCCCTTTCTGACCCCAAGTATGGCCATCGGTCTGACCCTGAGCAGAGAGGCAAGACTCCCTAGCCAGGAACCTCTGGCTTTGGGAGTCACTGGCCATAAAACATGGGGCTCAGACACTTTTTACAGGATCCATCTTCAGAGTTCCTAGGACTAACATTGCCTGAGGACTAATAGGTCCCAGCACTTGTACCCAGAGAGAGGTGTGCCTTGGGGCGAGGCCTGGTCTAGTGGATGGGCGTAAGGGACCGGGACATAGGCAGTTAGGATGGGTCACCTGGATAACAAAGGCAAGGTCCAAGAGCCAAGAAGCCAGAGTCAGGAGCCAAGGGGTTGAAAGGCTGGAGTCAGGAGCTGAGGAACCTGAGTTAGGAACTGAGGACTTGAGGAGCTGGTGTCAGGGGCTGAAGAGCCCAGAAGACAAGCCAGAATCCAGGGCTGATCAGGGTATTCTGATCAAGCAAGAAACACAGCATGGCAGCCTTTTCCCAGACAGCTTGCTTCTCTCTCTTCTGGGCTTATAAAGGCATGTATGAGCAGGGCCCTTTCCTGTAGCCCTGTGGGATGACTTAGGCTAACTCCTCACTACCTGCACCTGGGGTTTGGGGCTGAGTCTTGTGCAGCTGGGCCCAGATTCGTTACAACAGGACTCCTCAGCTACCCAGTTATGGGACCTTTACAGTCCTTTTGGGTGAGCATGCAATCCGCAGGGGTCTCTGCCAAAGCACAGCACACTGGGCTTGGAGCAGGGAGAAGAGTAGTGGGACAGAGCAGTGAGAAGGAATGGGGATGAGGGTAGGGAGAGCTTTGAGTACAAGGTGGGGACCCTGGGGCTTCACGGCCAGAAGATGGGAAGCTAGTGCAGGACCCGGGAAGCGGGATAGAGGCCCAGAGCAGCAAGAAAGGGCCCCTGTGGGGAGTGTGGTTGTCTGAACTTCGCCTTGAACCTGCATCACCCTGTCAAGGAAATTTATGACTCGCTCCCCCTGTCCTAGTTATTAGTTCTGGGGACAGCCTGGTGTGTTGTAAATAGCTCTGTTCTGTGGCTTCCTCAAGGAGACGATATCTTGTCTGAGAGGGTACGAATGTCCTTGCCCTTTAAAGGGCACCATCTGTTCAGTGAAGGATTGAACGACACAGGCGAAGGATGGGGTGTTTCTGCCCTGTCCAGGCCAGAATCACCTCTGCTCTGAGGGCCATTGCTGACACCTACACATCTGGGGAGCTCTATCGCGCTGACTCACATTGATCAACCTCACCTGGTTGTTAGGTTTGGGCCAAGGCTGCTGGAGTCTGGTCCTTGCCTCTCTGTCTGTGCCATTCCCTGCCTTGGTAAGCTTCAGCAGGTCTGGACTCAAACCTATCTCAGACATGCCAGGTCCTGCACCTCTGGAAGGAGAAGGGACAGGGCTGCAACATGGGCAGCTTACCAGAGGTCTGAACACTGCTCTTTGGGCCTGACTTTCCCCTGCCTTGTGCTGTGTTTGGCCTCACTTTCCATGGATGAAAATGGCTGTACAAAGTGGCAGCTGGTGAAGAGTGCAGACTGGTGGGCTACCCTAGGTAATACTCTTATAGGCAAAACTAGGGGTCTGATTCTGATACTGCAAATGCACTTGCACATGAGCTCACAGACTCTGAGTGGCTTCCTTCAGATCCACCAGTGGCTCCCTTGAAGTGTGGTAACCTCCACAGGGTAGTCTCAAGGTGAAAGAGTCCTGTGTAGGCTTTATGCTTATGGGTGTCCCATGCAAATGATGGTGTTTTCCCTTGCTTCTGATCTCCATGGAAATGGAGCACCATT